CGCTTCTAAAAACAGAACCTCCATCCGATCTTCTTTTGATCGCGGGATTTCCGCATGTAAATATAACCTCGCAAACAGAGTTTTTCTCCCCCGAACATTTCCCCGTGTGTTTATTACCTCAGGAAAAATAAAAATAAAAAATCGTTTTCAGTCCTTAAGGGCAAAGCGGTTAAGCGTTTTGAGCGGAGAGACATCTGATCTCCCCCAGCTACCCCTTGTCTCTTACCAAACAGAAGATAAATATCTGATCTCAGGTAAAATACCTGCTCAGGGAGAGGGAGAGAACATCCCTCGGCGAGTGAGAAAGGAGACGCCGGTATTATGCAATAATCGCGGTTCATTGTGCACTCACTGTCTTAACGAGTGGATGACACCAGTGCGATAAATAGGAACCATTGTCGGGTGACACAGAGGACAATTATAACGCGTGATTGCGCTCACTGCCTATTTCCAGAACCGAATATAGCGCAACTTTGCTTCACCGCATCCACCTTCACCGTGCAACAGAAGCCGGTCTCGGAGCGCCGAGCAGAGCCCTCTCCGGCCCTGGAATGTGTCGTTGGGGGGGGGGGGGGGCCCGCGCCTCCGCACACACACACACCTCATCGGGGTTGGCCAGAGGATGCTCAGGGGAAACACCTCTTGGAGTGCGTTCCGAGCGTACAGCTGGGCTCCGCTATCAGCCCAAAGAGCTCCGCGAACAGTCCGAAAGACTGGAAAGAAGGATATGAACGGAAGGGTCCGTAACTAAATCCGATCCCTCAGAAGCTCTGATGTTTAGCTTGTTTTAACTCTTTCTAAAGTCTGGAAATGAGGTATTATAAAATCTATTACCGCAACGCCTCCCTCTTGGCCACAAGGTCTCGTGTGGAGTGAAGCGCTGAGACAAAAATCTCACCAAATCGGCCACTTTATTACCTCGGTGTACGCCTCGTTTCTGGGCAATACTTAGGCTTGATGCGTGCACTAATTCTATTGACCTGTATTGATTTCTAGTCAAATCGGAAGCCCTTTCTTCCTTTCCTAAAGGGCTTTCGCACGCCATCATCAAGCTGGCTCGTTAATAGTAAATAAATAACTATATAGATAAATACACTCCTGTCTTTAGAAAATGACTTATTAAACAAATCGATTATAAAATGCCTTTGAAATTGTCCCTCCCGAAGAATAAACCCGCTCCCCTCTGCCTGCGGGCAGCGGATGAAAGACAAGGGTTGGTGCTTGACTGAGGCATCACATGGGGCATCATCCGTGTGATGATCCGAATGGTTTCCTTCTGACTTACACAGATAAGAGGGAGAGCCCCTTGGTGAAATAGAACAGCCACCTCCCCCTCTCCCCCCCCCCCCCCAGCTGCCGACACCGTCTCTCACGGACTAACTAGGCGGTGGCACTTCGTTGTGGGGATGCTGCTCACGGCCCTTCGGAGACACCAGCGAGGATGCTGCGGCGGTGCCTGCCCGTCGCCTCCCTCCGCCCCCGGGCTGGGAGAGGCAAGAGGAGGTGGGCCGGGGGCAGCCTGGAGCCCGGGGGCAGAGGGGGAGGCGGGAGGCGGAGCTGCCCGGGACGGGCCGTCGCTGTTGCTGCCGCTGGAGCCGGTCAAACTGCACAGCCACTTCCCCCAGGAGCTTCCCTTTCATCTCCCCGCTCCTGGCGCCTGCAAAACAGCCTCAGTTTGTCTGCAACGTCTCTCCTCCCCCTGCCCTCCCTCCCTCCCCGTCCCTCTCCAGCTGAGAGCCCCAGGACGGGGAGCGCAGAAGCGGCTTCGGCGGACAGAGGCGGGAGGCTGGGGGCGCGGGGGGCTCTCGGGGCATCCTTGGGATCCGTACTCGCTGGGACAGCTTCTGAGGGCTGCCGGGAGATGGGGGACACGAGGGAGTTGGGACAGGGTGACTTCTCCCGAGACAGCTCCCATGGAGCCCCGACGGCCGTGTCCGGGACCGCCCTCCCCAGGAGCGCTGTGGACACTCACGAGACAGCCCTCGGAACCTTGGTTCCCCGGCACGGGTGAAATCCCTGCTGATCTGAGGTTGCTCTGAAGTCCTGGTTCGGGGGAAAGACTTAATTCCAAGAAGTGTCATCAAACCTCTGTGCTTTCGAGGCTGCCGTCCCGGCATTCGGTGCAGCGTGGGTTTTTTTTCTCCTGTGTTTAACTGACAGGAGGATGAAGGAAGGGAGGGGTGAGGGAGGAGAGAAACTTCCAAGTTAAGACTTTAAACGGAAAAGTTTCCAAGCTTGGTACGGGTTGATGCTGAAGGAGGGCAAACACCATAAGCAAGAACTGCCATGCTGTGAAATACCAAACGTCCCTGTGGCACCCCAAGGCCGACCAAACCAGGCTGGCAGAGCTGACGTCTGTCCCGTGCTTCTCGACGCCGGGAGAAGTTTGCCTCTCTGTTCCCCTCCTTCTTCCACCTTTTTGAAAGATGATAGCTCAGAGAGGGCTCTCCAACCCCATGGGGACAACATCCAGGCCACAGCCATACAGCACGGGAGCTGCACCCATGGGATGTGAGCCCTGGCTCGGTGTCACTGTGACCTGCCCTCCTGCGAGCTCTCCTTCCCCAGGCGCCCTTCCAGCAGGCATTGACTTTGGGAGCTCGGTATAATTATCAGTAGCATTTTCAGCAGTCCCACAATGGCTTTCTGAGGACGGTGCATTGTTCTTGACACACACGCATTGTTCCTGCGTGTCTATCAATTCTCATTTACTTGTCACGGTGCAGGAAGCATGGAGAAGGGAAAGGAAGGTGGAGGGTGGGGGGTGCTGAAGGAGAAAAGAGGGACAGCCTCACTCCGCAGCAAGAGAACTCGCGGAGCCGGGGCACTGCAGTCCCACATCTCTCTGCGAGTATCTCCCAGCAAAGAGAGAATTTCTGGGGAAGGAGATGAGAGAAAATGGGGTTAGGAAGAGGAGTGAATGAGGAATCAGCTTGTGGAAGCAACTGTTACTTTCAATCTCAGAGAAAAGCCCAAATCGGAGCTCTGTTGCCTGAAACATAACCTGACTCAGTCTGGTTAGCTGGTGTAGTGAAAGGCATCACCCCTCTTTGCATATCACCCCTGGCTTTAATCCTTGTCCCATCGAGGTCTGCAGTAACACTGCTAGCAATAAATGACGAGTGTGCAAACCCTACTATTAGTCGCACTGAAGAGTGGGGTTTTGTAACACGGCTCTTTGTACACAACCCCCACACTCCTTCCCACACCGCAATCGCCTGACCCGGTCCCAGTTGGTCGTGAGTGGCACCTGGCGAGCTGCTGTCAGAGCTGGATGAAGGAAGCTGCAAGGGGTTGAGAGGATCCCTGGGCCCAGCACAGCACACTCATTACATCCCCTCCTTCGGGGTGCTCCCTGGCCTGGCCTGGGTGGAGGAGGATGGGCCGAAGAAAATCCCAACCGGCCCAGTTCTCCTCCCCAAAATCAGCTCCCTAACGGCCCTCAGGGAAAAGTCATAAACGCCCTACAGTGAGAGAGCGGGACGTAGTGATTTTTGTTAGGGGGGGTGGGACGTCCCGGACCGGCAGAAAGATTGGGAATCTCAAGCGAGAACAAGGTTCGCTGATGGAATCCTGGTCGGTTTATGCAGGACATAAACCAAAACGGCGCAGGGAGTGCAAATCTGCAGCCCACACAAAACGAATCAGTAGCCCTGTCCAAATCTCCCCTGGAGTTGGGGCACAGAGCGCGGAGCAGAGCTCACAGCCCCACACATGGGCAGATGCATTGCCACCTCCCCAGCACACTTTGTTATGCTTTTGTTTTGCCTTGGTGTTTTGTTTTGTTTTAGAGCTTTGGTTAGAACTAACACAAAAGCAGCTCCCAAACTGCGTTTCCTGGACGTTTAAAAAAACAAAAAGATTAAAAAAAAAAAAAATGGAACAACAGAGAAAGTTGCAGGCGCAGGATGAAATAACGCCCGGTGTAAGATTAAAATAATTACGAAAAGAATAATATGCATTTGCTTTTATCCACGTGGTAATTAGAAACGCTTTTAAAAGGATGCTCTTTAGTCATACCGCTGGTAGGAAGTCAAAAAGTGAGAGAAACGCTTTCGTAGTGCTAGTTTGATATACCTCTTAATTAAGGACTGCGTGCCCCTAATTTATTAAAGTTCTATTCATCACGTGTGGAATTGACGCTGGAAAAAATAATAATAATAATAATAATTACAGATCTAACCTCTGCAGAGTGTTTTCTGCCCAACTCGGGTCCCGCTGCCAAAGAAACGCAATTGAAACCCCTTTTTCGGATGAAAAATGCTCCGAATGGGCTCTCCGCGGGGGTCTTGCACTGAGTTCAGCACCCCACCGCCCCCCTTCTTTCTCCCCCCCCTCCCAGTGTGACACCGGATAAATTCCCCGCTCCGGGAGGGCGGCGAGACCCGATGGGGCTGGAGGGGGGGTGGTGGCGCGGCCGACGGACAGAGGGGACCGGGAGGGGCCGGGCCGGCGGCGAGAGGAGGCAGCGCTGCGATCTTCTAAAGTTTCCTCTTCGCCTAATCATCAGCCTTAATTACCCCGGCGGCTCTTTTCTTGCTTCGGTATGATTATAGCCCCGGACGGCTCCTTAATGGCACGGCTCCGCTCGCTGCCCGTGTCATTAACTCGTAATTCATTTCGGAGGGGACGGGGGGGAAGGAAACAGGGGAGGGGGGGGGGAACACCCCAAACAAAATATGCCTCGAAAAAAATAGAAAGAAAGAAAGAAAAAAAAAGAAAGAAAGACAGGGGGAAAAAAAAAGTGTGTGCCCTCCCTCCCGCTCCCGAGCCAATGACATGAGTCACCCCGCGACGTCAGGCGGCAGCGGCGGCTCTGATTGGCCTGTGGGGCGTTTACTCCACTTCCCAAAGGAGGAAAGAGCCGGGGAGCCCCCAGAGGGGGGAAAAGAGGGGGGCGGCTCCGCAGCGCCTCACTCGCGCAGTCCCCGCGCAGGGCCGGGCAGAGGCGCAGCGCAGCTCCCCGGGCGGCCCCGCTCCAGCCACGCTCCGCACTCGCGATGGCTTCTCCTTCCAAAGCGAAGGAGGTTTTCTCCTCCGACGAGGAGGGCCCGGCGGCCGGCGCCGAGGAGCACCACAAAGTCAAAGTGTCCAGCTTGCCGTTCAGCGTGGAAGCCCTCATGTCCGACAAGAAACCTCCCAAAGAGCTGCCGCTGGCCGCGGCGGGGGGCAGCGCCGACGGGGCGACCGTGGGTACCTCCAGGAACCTGCTGCTGCCGGGCCACGGCTCCCGAGAAGCGCACAGCCCTCCCGGGGCTCTTACAAAAACCTTCGACACCGCTTCGGTCAAATCGGAGAACTCGGAGGACGGCACGTCCTGGATCCAAGAGGCCGGGAGATATTCCCCTCCGCCAAGTGAGTGGCCGGGGAGCGGCGGGGCGGCGGAGGGCAGCGGGGCCGGGGAGAGCAGAGAGGCGGCACCGCTCCGAGTCCGGGTGACACTGCGAGCCCCGGGCACGGGATGCTCAGGGCACGTTGGATAGCTGCGTTTATACATAGACTCAGATGTGTGCGTGTGTTCACGGTTATGCCTGTTTAGTTTTTGCATGTCACCTGTGTGTTTACATAGAAGTTATGTGTTTATACCTTTACCTGGGTGTAGAAATATCCAGTGCTTTTAAGCTGTACAGTGATCAGGAGCTCCCTTTCCCTACGTACAGCTCACCATCTGACAGTTTATACCTTTATGTTACCGCGTTACACTGAGAAGTGGAATTTCTCCTTCTCACAAAGCGATCTCCTTGCTCTTTCTAACTTTGTGCACTGTCTGTGCGCTCTGTCCCACCGGTGTTCTTCCCTCTGTCTCTCTGCATGCAGGCTGTCAAAGTCCCAGGCTGGGCCTGATCTCGTTCCCACCCCCTACGCCCCCCATCCAAGCTCTCCCCATCGCCTCGGGGACTCCCAGTCCCAAGCTGACAGGTCACTTTTTAAACCTCTTTGCTGCCCGATCCGCGCTCTTCTGCTGAACTATTTCAGTGAGATCCCCTCCGTCCACCTTTTTTTCTCTTAAATTTTAATTGCTTTAAAAAATAATAGCAATCATCTCCCCGCCAAAACTACATCACGAACGGGTGAAAAACGTATCCCGGCAGTGCCGGGCTCTGCCTTCCTATTACTGTGAGCCTTTGTGGGCAGACACCTGTATTAGCAGATCGGGCTGTGCTGACTCACGCGATGTAAACCGAATTCTCTGCTTTCTTAAAGTGAATGATTTCACCAAACTGAACAGCTGGACGGTCGTGGAGAATTTGCTACCATAACCTATCATTGCAAGGAAGTTTAGTGTTATTACATCTCCTCTATTTTGGGGAGAGTCGCTTTGATTTGGCTTTCGGCCACTTCGTTTGCTTTGCCATTACCCTGAATTAATTTGATTTCTAACTTGCTGAGATGGATGGGAGGAGAACAGGCCGCCCCTGTCAGTGCTCTGTAGCTCCGGATTGTGATTTTCACGTACTCTCAAGTCCTCTGGAAACGCGTGAAAAGACGCGGGTGCCTCGGCTCAACTCCCCTCCTCTAACAAGGCCTCATCTCTCAGTTATTGTTTATTGGGTTCTTTTACTTCGAAATTCCACTTCTGTCTCTATTCAAATCGGCAGTTCCTGGGATCTGGAAAATACCCTTGTAAAGAACTTCAGCGTGTAGAGTGTTGAAGGCCAGTGATTTCAAGGGGGAATTTGAGGCAACAACGACCGGGGATGGGACCTGCAGCTCGGGAAGGTCCTTCAGCCCCTGTCCTCTTCCTCATTCCCCGACCCGGCTCTCAGCCCCGTCGGAGCTGCCGGGACAATGCGGGACATGAGCGGTGCTCCCATCCCGTCTGTCCGCGGAGCGCTTTGACGTCGGGACTAATAACGCTGCGAGGGGAAGAGCTGCAATGTTAGATTATGAGCAGAACGTAGAGGGAAGCAGGTGATGGTTTTTGTCCGCCGTTGGCCAGAAAACGGACGATAAACGGGAGAGAAATAAATAAATACAAAACGAAACAAACGACTGCAGCGAGCGCTGTAGGACGGGCACGGGGTAATCATCACTGCAGGCTCCACCGAGGCGACCTCCGGGCTTCTTATCGGAGTTTGGCAGTCATCTGCGGGGCGGTAGGAGAAAAAGCTGTGAGCTTTTGGGTGTATTCCGAGAGAAATATTTCTCTGGGATTTAGTTTAAAAGCGACTTACGGCACTTTGCCGAGCGCAGCCCCAGTCGGGACGGGCCGGGTAAGCTGACAGCCGGGAAAGGCGCTGCGGCAGCGGCCGTCCCTGTAAACCTCATCCCTACGGCTTCGGCTGCCGAGTCTTCGCAGATCTTCGAGATAAAGAATAGGTCTCGTTCTAAAAAAAAAGGAGAGTGGAACGGAGGGGTAACCAGTAATTAGGGAAGTTTCAGCAGCGCGCCGGTTTGCAGCTTCATTATTAAAACGATCCCGTGCGATCGTAAGACGGCGTTTGACAACTTGTTTTCCAAGAAGGATTTATTTGCTGTGTTCAGTAGCCGGAAGAAGTGTAGGAAGATGCATTTCGCTACATATATATATATATATATATATATATATATATATATATTTAAATCTGTTTTCTCTCTCCTCGTTCTGAACACTCTTCTCGTGAGATGTTTTTTTGTTTTTTTTTTTTTGCTTGCAAGTTATGCGCTGAAACAGCATCGTGGTCTGATGCTGAAATGAAAACGGAAAATGAAAACGGTTCAAAAAATACGCAGTGAAAGCAGTGGCAAGTGTGTGAACCAGGCACTACAGCACATATGAAATTTTTGCTGGTGCTCAAGTGCTGACAGTGCATCATTTTCTGTATTAAACTGGAGTTTGTGGTTTCTTGTGGGTCCTGGGAGTGATTTGGAACACAGTCAAATTGCAGAGCTCTTCACACCAGGGTTGCACGTCTTCCTCATTTTTTAGAATTATGAGTGAAATGTAAAATGAATTGAAAGACAGCTCAGCAATGTGCCAACTCAGAAACAAGTGCCCAGCCTGTCTGGGTTTATAAGGAAAGCACAAAATGTACCAGATTTCCTGATTTGTATTGGCTGCAGATGCTGCTGTTGTATGAGACAAACAAGGCAAATGTCACAAGAACAAGTACTGAATGAGAAGTGTGGCATTTTCTTCTTGTATGATATTTTCTGAAGAAAACAGAAAATATGTCTTGAGAGGAAAAAAAAGTTAAGTAGAAGGGAAATCTGCTCTTGATTTCAATGGGAGAAGAAATTGGAATAATAGTGTTCTGTTATCCAAAACACAACAATTATCAGACTCTGTTCTTCAGCTGTCAGGATGATCTCTGGCAGGGCTGATGTGTTGCTGTTGGCAAAGTCCTGGTGTGGCTTCTCTCACACCATGGTGCTTTTGTGAATCTCCTGCTTTCACCTATACGTTTGTCCTGTGCTGTGCTGGGGTTAGTCCTGCAGTTCTGCTGCTGCTAAGACAGCTATTTTGTGCAGACCCCTACGATCCTAAAGTGATCTGCTGCGTATCTCTAAATCCTTCACTCTCTGTTTGCCTACAAGCTAACTCCTTAGAATCAAGGAGCCAAAATTTCAGGACATCTGATGAAGTACTGCAATATAAGTTGGTCTAGCAAGAGATTTGCAGTGACATTTGTGAAAGATCCCCTGTTCTGAGGGTGTCACTTGATGGGACATCCTCTGGCACAGGTCCTCCCTGAGCCATCTAAAGCACCACGTGTCTCTGCAGAGCACCCAGGTCTCCCCACTTTGTGATAACCGGCCTTTCCCTTCCTTGCAGGACACCTGAGCCCTACAGCCTGCACCCTGAGGAAGCACAAGACGAATCGGAAGCCCCGCACCCCATTCACCACTTCCCAGCTGCTGGCCCTGGAGCGCAAGTTCCGCCAGAAGCAGTACCTGTCCATCGCCGAGCGAGCCGAATTCTCCAGCTCCCTCAACCTCACAGAGACCCAGGTCAAAATCTGGTTCCAAAATCGGAGGGCCAAGGCCAAGAGACTGCAGGAGGCTGAGCTAGAGAAGCTCAAAATGGCAGCGAAGCCCATGTTGCCGTCGGGGTTCAGCCTCCCTTTTCCCATCAACTCCCCCATCCAGGCCGCCTCACTGTATGGAACATCCTACCCTTTTCACAGACCTGTGCTTCCTATCCCGCCCGTTGGACTCTATGCTACTCCTGTCGGATATAGCATGTACCACTTATCCTAAGAAGATCAGAAAGGCACAGTGACAGCGAGAAAGACTTCCTGGTGGATCTCATCCAGCCCTAAGAATGCAGTACCCAACCGGTGCTGGCCGTTCTTTCTGCACGCTTCTATCTGCCATGCCGAGTTCGTGTTAGCAAAGCAAGGCATCCTGTATGCAACAGGCTGGGTGTCTTCTGAGAGCGCTCTGAGCGCTCACAGTCTGATCCTCAAAGTGTTCAAAAAAAAAAAAAAAAAAAAAAAAAAAAAAAAAGTAAAAACGATTAAAAAAAAAATTGAGCAATTGTAGGGTTTTTATACAGTGCATGTAAAATTAGGGTAAGAAAGAACGGGTGAAAAAAAACAAGCTTGCCTTACGGAGGCAGAGATTTCCCAACAGCTTCCTGATGGGGCCCAAGCTGTTTTTAAAGTAAAAGGGGTACGTACCCTAAATCCACACTCTCAAGTGTCATCATTTAATATAGGGGCAAGGGGAGGGAAATAAAAAGCTGTAATCAAGGTGGGTTGGGGGGCATTGTTTTCTTTTGTTGCCGTCGTTTAAAGAAAGCAGAGCCCTTAGATACAGACACAATGTAAATAGAAACTAGACCCAGTAGAGTCCGAGTGAAGTTCAGAGCCAGCAAGTTCCTGCATTTCTAAGGGTAAGGAAAGCTTTTCACATCCCAGACCTCCACAGACCTTTTGCAACAAGACGAGGGCCCCTAAATGCATGGAGTAAAGCAAGGGCTTTACCCACCCGTGGCTCTTGTAATGCCTTTATGTGTGTAAATCGCTTCAGCGTTTTTAAAGCACTGTGAGGAGAGATGAGGTGCAAGGCAGGCTGCTCTTTATCTCTTCCGATTGGCGTGTGTAGAGTTTTGTTTTTTTCTTACAGCCAGGTAATCTTGGCTCTGCAATGCTTCTTGAAAACCAAGAGGGAGGGAAGTTTCTGGGGAAAGAAGACGTGGGTTGTTTCCACAGTGGTGGTGAGCAAGGGTTGTCGAACTCTTCTGCGGAGATGTTTGGGGTTTTTTATTAGTATCTGCAACAGTCTGCATTAAATAGAAGAATCCCTCGAGTCTTCCTCTCCTCCCCTTGCCAAGGATGCCAACTGAAGTGACTCATGCTTCAAGCCCTTCTAAAGAAAGATCCAGGTATCAAAACCAGACAATGCTACCTGTGGGACGGTGGGGTGCCAAGAGACTGTGTAAGTTCTCTGCCCCCATGGGAGCTTCCCAAGTGCTGGCAGTGTCATCGTCCCCGGTCTTCTCCTTGTAACTATTGTATTATGTGTATTACTCTTGCTAAACTTCGTGAGAAAATTACTCTGAAGGTTGTGGAGCACTGAAGGCAGAGCTTCTCCCGGGTTTATTTTCTTAGCATGTTGATAAGAAACCCTCCTCTGCCCCACTTCCCCTCCCCAAAAAATAGGAGGAAAAAAAAAAAAAAAAAAAAAAAAAAGCCTAAAAATTTTTTAAAAGTCACAAAGTTTTACCGTTTTTGGTTTGTTTTGACCCAGGCACTCTCACTGCCCGGGACCCACTGTAGATGAATTTCCCATGTCCCTTCCCTTTACCCCTAACCTTTCATTATAGGAAAGTCCCTTTGAAAGGGATACCTTGTACAATTTTATATATTTTATTGAAGATTTATTATTTCTTATCTCTTATTTCGAATTAAATTAAAAAAGAAAAAACATGTTTAATTACGTGTGGGTCTGTGAGTGTTTGGAGTTCTTTAAAAGGTAACGTCTCTCCGTGTGTGTTTTGCACTGCTGGGTCAAGTTCAAAGGAATGTTTAGGTTGCCTTTGTGATTATTTCCCCTTCTGAATCTGAAGTGAAGCCAAATTTGCTGCACATGAAGGTGAATTGCAAGTCAACAATTCAAAGTCGGGAGCCAAACCTTTTATGAGGTTTCCTTGTTTTTAACAACCCCTTTTAGGCGCCTCTGTTCTTTACAGCATCATATTCTGGGGATGTTTCCCTCACTTCTCTCAGCTCACGCGCCTCTCTGTTGCTCAGGCCTCTCCCCTCACCTCAAATCCGTCTTTGGTGTGTGGCTGGTTTGTGCCCCAGCCATAGCTGGGGGTCACGGTTGAGGGTCCACGGTACAGGTCAGACCTGGCAGGGACCCCGCAGTACTCTGCCACAGGACCGTTGCAGGTCTCCTATGTTCTGTCAGCCTGTCCATTGGTTTTGGGGCAGCCTCGGAGAGCAGGTGCCAGACCTCAGCCCTCTCTATCAAAGGGAACAGGAGTTTGCTCCGAAGAGAGGGATCTCCACGAGGCTACTTTACCACGGCACACCAAAGTCTCGTGTCCGCCCTTACTGTAGGATTATTCGGATTAGGAGTGACCTCCGCGATCCCAGCTGGCCAGAAAGCTGCGTTCGCCTCTATTGGAACAGCCGGGTTGATGAAATAGGGATGCACGGAGGAAAGCATCCCCGTGCCCGGCGCCCATCCCGGCTGTGTCCCGCTCCCTGCCTCGGAGCCCCGCTCCGTGCCCGAGCCCTCCTCGCTCCGTGCGGGACGGGGCTGCGGCAAGCACGGGGACGGGAGGAACGGGGCAGCTCCTTCCGAGCGGCGCTGCGGCTCTCGGGGCGATCCTTCCCGTCTCAGCCCTATTCGGACACAAACCCTTCCTGCTTTGCAACTGGATGGAGCAAAGCTGGGAGAACCCAATCTCCACGCAGACATTGCAAACCAGAGTTTACTGCCGCGTGAAACCAGAGACAAACACTCCTTTCTTGGGTTCCCTGTTTCCGAGGCATTATCCCCTCACTCCGGGGCAGGGAGAAGCCTCCTCTCCCCTCTGCCTCCCCTTGCGATCGTCCCGAGCTTTTTCTCCGCCGGTTATAAATAAACCAGCGGTATTTTTTAACCTTCGGTATAAATCAGCTGTGTCAGGGATTACAGCTAAATCTTTTCGCTGGAAACTCTTTGAGCGCAGGAGCTTTGTGCGTGTTATGATAGATCCTTAAATGGATACAGATTTATTGCAGAACACAAGGGTGTTGAAGGAAAAGCTTCCAGAACTCGGTTACAACCTTTGCTATGGGAAAGGCAGGACGGATCCGTGACACCTTCCCCGAGCTCGCGGATGGCATGACAGTTCACCCTGCGCCCATTATTAACTTGTTCCAATTAAAGCCTTCAGAAAGGCCGAGTTAATTGAGTATTATATTTTATTAGGAGGGAGGTGTCAAGCTTTACTCATGAGACTTCATCATCGGCCTAATGGGAGCTACCCCGCAGGCAGATCTGTAACTGAATAAATTACAGCGAGGCAGGGAAATCAGAATGCTACCATTAAACGCGATGCACTTACTGAAATTCCTCCTCCACTTTCGCAAGAGGCTGGGGAGGTGTGGCTTTAATTAGTTATTTTAATGCAAAGTTAAATTGTTCCCAAAGTATTTTCTGACACAAAGCAGATGCGATGATTAGAAGTTGAGTGAGACTGAAAGGAGTTGGCATCTGTTCCAGGTACATCTATATATTTTAAATTTCCAATAGAAAGTGAAAAATAATTAGAGCAATAAATAATAAACATTAAAAACAACGCGATAAATTATCCCGATCCTTAAAATCCCGACTTGCTGAACGGCGGCTCAGAGCAGCCGGGCACAGCTCGGCTCTCCCGGGACCTTAATTCACGAGCTATGGATCTGTTGACATAAACAGTTAGGAATGGGCTCTCTGACTCGCTCCGGCCAAGCGTTCATTACAGAGAGCCACGGGCGCTCGGAGCCTGCATTTCATGTTGTCACATCGCCTTGTCAAAGCCCGGAATTCCTGCATTTTATAGGGAAGGAGGAACGCTCGGTGACTGCGGCGCGTCTGCGAGCCGGCGTGCCAGAAAGCGCCGGGTTTGATCTCCGCCGGGAGCCGCGCTGCGAGGCCGGGGGCGGCGGGCACCGAGAGCGGCGGCGCCGACGGGAGAAGCCCGGGCCGGGGAGGAGCAGCCCCCGGCTGAGCACCCACGGGAGGCTCGGTGAGGGAACGGCCACCTGCTCCGGGGAACTCGGGGAACGGCCGGGGGCCGGGTGTGCGGCTGGGGTGCCGCTGCCCACCGAGGTCTGCCCGGCTCCTGTGCGGTCCGCTGCGCCGGGGATTGACGAGCACCCACGTAACGTAGGGGTGCCGCACATACATCGGTGATGTGTGCGCTGCGTATTGCCGAATACCGTCCGCCAGTCTCTGAGCACGAATCCCGTAGGCGCTGCATGGGAATGCCCCATTCGCGCACGCACGGGGCGCTGTGGGATTTTGCGGGGTGAGTGCGGGACACGAAGGGTGGAGCAGGGGAGCACACGCAGGGCAGGAGAGAGGGGAAGGCAAAAGGTGACTCGTCCCCAGAGAGCACCCTCAGAGGGTACCCTCTGCCGTCCCCGGGGTCGCAGAAAGAGAACCTCAGCTCCGCCCCGCCCCAGTGCAATCAGGGGGGAGCGCACGGAGATGCGGGTCACACCGACCCCAAGACTGCTCAGGCAGCGAGGTTATCGTTGTGTTTTACCAGATCACGCTTCCCCCCTCTATTCATCTCCAGTTCAGTTTCACCGCGGCTCAACTCATATTTACTTCTTAAAAATAATAATTAAAAAAAAAAAAAAAAAACTAAAAGTCGTTAAACAAGACAAAAGAAAAGAAAACAAAAACAAAACAACCCCGGGGGCTGCGCACTTCTCTCGTGCTTACGGTCAGTGACCACCAGCGGGGATTTTTCAAAGAAGGGTCACGTCTCGAAGTCACCCCGCGCTCGGCAGCGCCCGCATTCTTTGCGTCTCTCGCGGAAGAACAGCAAAGCGGCATTGGACTTCTCCCTGCTGGAGCACGGAGGGTGTTTTTCCACTGAAGTGCGTTAAGAGCACCGCACAGTTCATCCTCGCACTGGGAAAGCCAGGAACGCGGTCCGCACTCCTTTTCGGTGTCGAACACAACCGTGGAAAGACAGTGCGTTTGGGGTCTTTTCTTTTTTTTGTAGAGAGTTTTCTGGGTTTGGTTTGGAATCCCTCAGCCCCTCG